GGGGTGACAGGTCGCTCGTCGCATCACCCCGGCATGGTCACCCCCATGCCTCTACACGGCTGTGCTCGGCATCGGTGCGCTTCATCCGTTGGTTCACGGGTGACCAGGCCAGGTCTGCTGCGTCTCCTGGACAAGCATGCATTCGTGTTCTTCTAATACTTTACTGTCTTGGGGGCCCTTGCCTAAGGCATGTGAATTGCGCGTCGCATTCGGACCCTTGCGAACCTTGGGCCACGCACTTGACTCTGGTTACCTTTTTCTTAACACAACTTGTAATCCCCCCCAGCCAGTCCACTGGTACTGCGCCAACGCCATACTTTATCACTTCTCTCGCCCTCGCCCCGCCCCTACCCTACCCACCTGTTCGTTTGATGGCGCATCCGACTCGCTGCTAGGCCCCTTTCACCACAGAGCCCACCCTCTCGATGCTGAAATCCTCCCGCCAGCCCATACATCAGTATGAGCTGGTCCCCCGAGACTCTGTAGACGAAGAGCAGCACGATGCTGGTCGCGATCGTTTGGACACCACCACCACCTTTTCCAGGCCATCATGGCTTGACCGTTTGCCCTGGCCCTTGACCAATGTCAACAAACTCTCAGACCGAGCCGTATACGTCCACTACGTCACCCCGCGCCGACGCAAGCGATCCCTCCTGCGCCTCATATACTGGTCCATATTCTCTATTCCTTACCTTTTAATCCTTCTCGTCCTCGTCACTGGCGCTTTCTTTCCGAGTTACACTATCCGACCACTCCACTATGACGAACTACGCAAGCGCGCAATTACTACTGGCCGCGCAAACCCATACAATGAAACCGTGTTTATAGTGGCATCGCTCGCTGAGCACAAAGGCGACTTGACTTCCGGGGCCTGGGGAAAGGAAGTGCTCCAGCTCATTGATCTCCTAGGGCCGGAGAATGTGCATTTGAGCATATATGAAGATAACCCAGACCCGGTCACCAAGCAATCTTTGAAGGCATTTCGAAAAAAAGTCAAGTGTAAGTGTATTCTTCAACGTTGCGACGGACCCCACTGACTGACCCGTTAAGGCAATTCTACTGTCGTAGCCGAAGATCTCGACCTCGCTTCTCTGCCCCATATTACACTACCGAACGGTGAGGAACGCCTTAAAAGGATTGCGTTCCTTGCCGAGGTTCGCAATCGCGCGCTGGCTCCAATCGACACGCATGGAGTGAAATTCGACAAACTCCTCTACCTCAACGATGTCAACTTCGACCCCATCGAAGCCGCCCAGCTCCTCTTTGCAACAAATATCGACTCCAACGGACGCGCAGACTATGCTGCAGCATGTGCCGTCGATCACATCATGCCCTTCAAATTCTACGACCGCTTCGCAACCCGAGATTACGACGGCATGGTAACCGGCTTGCCCTTCTTCCCGTGGTTCACCAGCGCAGGTACGGCAACAAGCAGGAACGATGTGCTCGAGGGTAGGGACGCTGTACGGGTACGAAGCTGCTGGGGCGGCATGGTGGCTTTTGAAGCGAAGTGGTTCCAGGCCCGAGCCGGAGCACCAGCAGAGGCTGCGGACCCACAGGCCCAGTCGCCTAATCGCGATTTATCCCCTCTCCGGTTCCGATACGACAAAGAGCAATTCTGGGAGGCATCCGAGTGCTGCCTGATCAACGCGGATCTCCAGTACCGGATGTCGGGCAAAGGTAGACCTACACAGTCTAGGATTTACATGAATCCATTTGTCCGGGTGGCCTACGACGAGAAAACCTTGAGCTGGCTCTCGTTGATCCGTCGACCAGAACGCCTCTACGCCCCGATCCACGACATTCTCAACTACTTTGTTGGGTTCCCCGAGATGCAGGAACGCTTCGCTGAGGAGCCTGGCGAGGTTGTCACAGACAAGGTCTGGGTTTTTGATAACCCAGCTGCAGCCTTTGCACAGAATGCGACAGAGGTGCAGCTCGCCGGACATTATGTTGAACGCACGCGAAAGGTAGAGCCCGGTGGCTACTGTTCCTCGCCCAATCTGCTGGTGATCAACGAGAAGCCCGAGCATGGCCCCGGTTCGTGGAGCAAGATTCCTCTTCCCAGGATACCGGGACAATAAGCATTTCAACTACCGCCCCTAGATTACGATTTTCCTTTCTCCTCTGTATCTTAACATTTAGCGTTCTTCTTTTCTTTGTCATGCATAGCGTAACGGTGGGAAGGCGTTTGTAGCCTTTCCGGGCTGATCATTGCCATCATTCAAATGAAAACATGTCCTCCGACTGGCACAAAGCAGGTCGTTTGAGGACTTTTGAAGATGTTGTTTCGCCGTTGGCAATTTCATGCGTATCCACCCAGAGTGTGGGCGCTAGACTTTTCTTTCTGTGTGTCTCGCCGCACCCTTAGTTCAATGATATTTGTGCCGGTGTGGAAATCCATCCAAAGCTAGCTCCATGCTACTATGATATGTCACTGAGTTACCCCACGTCATGAGCATTGTGGTCACACACACCGCCACCATGTGCCTACTCCGCAGTGTCACATGCTCCGTACTCTTCTCCCTGTTCTCCCATTGGAAACAACGCAATGTAAGCATCTTGTTTTCTCTACACCACCCTAGACTCTTCATTACTGCATGGGTGCCCAAACCAGCATTCCCTTGACGTCTCAGAACTGTCAATGATGAGTTTCGCGACAAGTCGAGTCTGGCCAATGACGCCACGCGTTATTCAGCCCTTTCGCCAAGCCGCTAGTCCCAAGTCTCACATCTGCAAGATGGCGCGCTAGGAGGCCAACACGGTGCGAAGAAACACGGCTCATCTGACCCAGGGTCTCTTTCTTTGTATATACTCCAATCTACATCCTCTTATCGCTCTGCCGCGTCTGCTCCGATAGACAGGGCCTTTTGGCGACTATTCCGCTACAATCCATTCAAACAATACCCACCGGGGACTCGGGATACCGACGTCATTCCGCTCAGTACCTGCAGGAACATCATGGGACTCGACAATGACACCCGCGGGTGGATCATGACCGCGGTCAGTGGTATTGGTATGTTTCTACACAGTCGTACAGCAGCTGCTTGCCGATCTGCTTTACACTCTAATAAGAATTCGGGCTAACGCGTGAATAGCGTGTACATTCGGCGGTAAGAACAGACCCGTCCTCCGTAGCTTGATTCTTGGGTCAGGCAGCTCTGGCGACGAATCTTCAGACTGACATTGACCAGCCTCGATAATATGTGTTGATGTTATTATTCGTCAGTTTCCGGGCAAGAAGAACTTCAAAATTGAGCAAAGTAATGCTTTTCTGTCGACGGGACTGAGTCTTTCTTTTGGCGTTATGGTGAGTTTCCACGCCCATCTGCACTATGTTTTCCATCAATTAATCCGAGCTTTAGATCTTTTCATCATTGTATAGCATGCTTCCCTCAGCAAAGAAGTATTTAGTAGGTGGCGGTATGTCACCAAGGAATGCGATATTAACAATGATTGGATGCTTTCTAGTTGGTGCTCTTGGCATTTCCGTCCTCTCTGGGATACTACACAAGTATATTCCGCATTCAGTTGTAGACTGCAACGATGAGCACGGTGATGAAGAACACCTAAAAGACGAGGAAGAGCATGGCCATTCGCACGAACCGATGCAAGAGCAACAACCTGGATTGCCGCACACAGAAGCACACCACGAACACCGGGCGTATGGAACCAGTAGCGAGACCTCGAATGCTGGCCAATCACAAAGACCATCACTGCACAAGTCTATCTCGTCCAAAATGTCTCAACTGGTAACTCGAGCCGAGAAAGCATGTGACAATAACCACAACGGGGAATGCTATGGCGATTTCTGCGAGATCCGGCCCACGCGTTTGCAGTCGAGGAAGTCCCTTGGCAGCCTGACAGCTATACGACCATCTGCTGTGAATAGGAACCAAAACTCACAAGGTCCGCACGACCGGAAGTTAGTATTGGAGGATGTAGATGAGACCACTCCTCTGATTCCCACGAGATCTGTTCCGGCCACTTTGGAAAGCTCTCTTGCTAGCCTACCGCCCGCAAATGGCCATGCAAGCACCAACACAAATCATATCACCCCAGCGCACAAACACAGTCGTAGCTCCTCGGTCTCCTCTCACTCGTCGCATGATTCTCACTTCCACGGACACAACCATAACCATAACCACAACCACGGCCACGGCCACGATCTATCCCAATCTCAACACCACCACCACGTCCCTACCAACGTTTTCCTCTCTCTTGGCCTACAAACCAGTACCGCAATCGCACTTCACAAGATTCCAGAAGGCTTCATCACATATGCTACCAACCACGCAAACCCAACGCTCGGCTTCTCCATCTTCCTCGCACTCTTCGTCCACAACATCACCGAAGGCTTCGCCCTTGCCCTCCCCCTCTACCTAGCTATCAACTCCCGATGGAAAGCAATGCTCATCTCCACAATCCTCGGCGGCGTCAGTCAACCGCTGGGCGCCGGCGTGGCAGCGCTCTGGTTCAAAGTGCAAGGCCGCGGCCGAGGCAGCGGCACCGAAGACGGGGAGATGGACACGATTTACGGCTGCATGTTTGCCGTTACAGCGGGTATCATGGCCATGGTGAGCTTGCAGTTGCTAGGTGAGAGTTTGGACTTGACAAATAGCCGGCGACTGTGCTTTGTAAGTGCCTTTGCGGGCATGGGCATTCTGGGCTTGAGCAGTGCGCTTACAGCGTAAAGAATATTGTTTTTGGAAAAACTTTGAATAAGGAGAAGACAGAATACAAAAAGACTGGGAAGAAGTTTTGACGATAAAGACGGCTTTTTTTCGGATGTAAAACATATGGGAGCATATACACATGTATAGGCGTTGTTTGTTGTTAGCAAATCAGTTGAGCATCATATACGCTCTATTCTGTGGATTTGGAAGAGTTTTGGACTCGAATTCTCTACAAGCTGTTTTGAGGCATTGCGGGTTTTTGCTTGTGAAAGAATCTACAAGACAAATCGATGCCGTCATCCCCCTTTCATTCATTACCCATTACTACTGCTCCCGTGCATCGAAATCGTCAGACGTTCGGGGGTATTCCTCGCCGGGCTGAGGCGCAATGTTCTCCACTTCGGCTCTTGCTTCTTCCCATGCTGCCTTGTTGCGTTTTGCCCAGTCAATGTGACATTGTGCGAACTCCATCTAGAAAAACTGGTTAGTATTTGGTATACAAGCTATCATCAAAGAAGTAAGTTGCTTACCATGTAGCGTCGCAAATCTTCTTCCTTTTCGTTCTGGAATCTCCGCAAGTCCTTCATCACGCCTGCACTTGCATCCTTGGTATCCTTCTCTGCAACACCTAGTGCTTGTTCGAGCTGTTCGTTGTTAGCATCTTTGTTATACTCACACTTCGTCTTGTGTATTTACCTGCACTAAACTATCCCTCGTCTTGCCTATCTGATCCCGCCGTGTCTTCTCTGGATCAACGTCTGCCATGCCCCTGAAAGCATGCGTGATGGAGCCGAATAATTTGTTGGTTACAAAGTTCCCGCTAGCCGTCTTCTTATGCTGGTTAGAGGGAGGAGAGTAACTATCAGGGGCCCCTTGAGCGCTTGACGGCGGGTCGCTATGTGTTGGAGGAAAGTCGGAGTCTATCGATGCCCTATCGTCCTCTGACCGGCCTTGTTGATCGGGGTCACTACCACTGCGCTGTGAGCTGTATGAAGCCGCACGACTCCGTGAGGGCGCATGGCCGACTCCGCTCAGATGTTGTTCCAAGCGTTTTGACTCTGCCTCACTTCGTTCCAGCGATTCAAGCAAGTTGCGCTTCTTCTCCAGCTCGTCCTTTGTCATATCTTCCTGTATCCTCTTGAGTACTCGGTATCGAAGAATCGAACGCACGACTCCGGCGAATTGCGCGCTTTCGCGCATCGGTTCGGAAAAGCTTGCGCTAAGAGATGACGATAGTTCGGTGGTTGCGATATAAGTCGAATCAACTGCCTGTCCGACCTTTTCGATAGCGGCAGCAAGTGTTTGTGTTTGTTCGGAGAGCGAGAAGGCGTTGAATCGCGCACCCAGATCGGCCATGTCTTCTCCCCAGTTTCCAAGATGCATAAGTAACCGCCTGTTAACCTTCTCCATAGGGCCCTGCAGCAAGTTTTCGAGGTCTTTCGAGGAGTTCTCGAAACTGACAAAGTATGGATCCAATTCTTCTTCTGACATGTCTCTTGTCTCAGGAGGGAAACGGCCAAAGATGGCGGGGCCTGGCGTGGTATGCGCGGCTGCTGAAGGCAAAGCTGCATTGTTGGCAGGCGCTACTGGTGTGCCGGAGCTAGAGGTTGCGCCGCCAGACTTGAGTTTGGCGGATGATGAAGGAACAGGGAGGTAGCTATGCGCTTGCGTGGGGTTTGCGGGATCTAGTGGGGGTGCTTTGAGGATTTGCTTGGGGATGTTGGAGATGGGTGGACTGTTCAGAACGTCGGCCTAGCGCACATCAATTCCGCACATGCAAAGAGATTCCATGAAAGTAACGTACCCAACTCGTGTAGGGATCAAGGAACCTCCAGAAGACTCCATCTTCCAGGATGTCCTTCATTTTCCTACACCTATTCAAGAAGACAGCCAACATGCGCTTTCGCAGCTCAATAATCCCGGCGTCTTCCTTTGCTTTTGTCGGTTTTGCGGCGTAATCGGCCATGGTGTGTTTCTCCGGGATCGGCGGTACAACGAGTGTTGGGTGTAATCTGACCAGTTCAGCGCGCAGCGATGCGAACTCGGAATATCTGCGCTTGACCTCGAGACCCTATGCCCGTTAGCCTCTTGCCATGCGCGACGACATGTCCACCTACGCCACAATTGATGGTGTACTGTATGTAATTTACACCGTCTTTCCCCGCACCTGTTATCAGAATAAGCTGATCCCGCTGCTCATACAGCCATTGCTCTACGCGCGCGTCATAACCACCCTTCTTGGGCGCCTTTGCATCTAGATTATCGGCGCGATCTTCGTTGTAGTCGATATCGCTCAGGTCGCGCTGGCCGATGTACTCGGGCGAGCCATGTGCGGGGGAGGATGCCTCAGAGGGAGGAGTGGCGGGACGATACGGAACTTTGCTGCTGTCAGTTGACCATGCTGGCAGTTACTTGGCCGGACATCAAGAAGCCTTACGGGCAGTAGGTGAAGCCAGGCCAGGGATATCTGAAGCGTTTGAATCGTGGCGGGCAAAGGATCCATATGGATTATTGTCCTCGTCGTCCCACATGGCGCCAATAGGATTGCGGTAATTTCAAGGGAAGGTGAGGTGGTCTTCTTTTTCTTTTTGCTGTTTCTGCCTGCGCGTGAGCAAGACCGGGCGGCAGCAGGTGTGGGTGTCGAGGATCTAGGGCTTGGAATGGAGTGGAGCTCCAGGCACTCACGGCAGTCAGGCAGGCGGCAGGGCAACGGTGACGTTGGTCGACTTGGCCCAAGCTCGTCCATGTCAGCCGCGCTGCCAGCCTCCGCATCGTGCGCCTCCCCTCTTCTTCACACTCACACTACAAACTGTTTATATACTAATGCGCTATGTTCTGGTAGTATCGTAGGTGTTTTTAAGCTAATATATGCCCCGTCACTTTCCATCCAATATATGTCTCCGGCGATACGAAATCACTCGATCTTTGGTGCTTTTGGTCATGCCTTTGAAAAGGCACACAATGTGAAAACCATGTGCGCAAGTTAGAGATTGTGGAAAAGCACTTCTGCATCTCAATATAAATCTGGTATTCACCCGAGTCTTAGGGAGCAGCCTCTATATTTATCTCCCCTCGTCAGCCGCATCTCTAGCAAACTCTCCTCGACTCCAGCGGGGTCTGGAGTATTCTCTCAACCACGGCCTCTTAAATCCTTTGACGACGGCAAAATATGTTGTTCATGTCGAATATTCATTGATCTCATCGGATTTAAGTCCAGGAGTAGTAAGGAAAATAATGTAAAGAAAAGGAAATTGGATTCACGAGTCAGCGCTGATCGCAAATACTGCGAAACTCTGATCGGAGCGGAAGTAAATTACATTCAGAAATGTCAAAAAGTACGGTATATTCATGTCTTTACTTGTTTCGATTCAGTGAACTGAGACTATCGCAAAAAATAGTAGTACACTAGTCCCATATTCGAACCATATTTGGTATAAACTTCTAAATCGTAATCTATTTCCTCTACTTTGGAACTATGAGACTACAATCCGTAAAAAGACGCGCCACCATAGCTACGATCAGAAGCCCAACGTTCTCTTGAATGAAGCCACTCTGCATAAGGATACCCTACGCAACACGATACGATACCTTAGTCGTACCCTTTGACCTCGCAATCTTCTTAACCTCAATCCTACCCACCTGACTACAATCCTGCACATGCGTCCCACCACACGGATAACTCCCCAGCCCCTCCATCTCCACCACCCTGCCCATCGTTTCTCCCTCAGGCAACGCAAACCCCTCACTCGCATAGCACTTCTGCATCAGCTCCTCCATCGACCACCAATGAATCTTAATTGGCCGCGCAGACTTGACAAACTCGTCCGTCTTGGCTTGGATAACGTCCTTGTGCTTTGCTTCGAGGCTGCCGATGAAGACGACGGAAGCAGAGTCTGGGTAGTGCGATGCTTTTGATTCTTTGAGCGGGGGTAGAACACCTTCGCGGCAGAGCGCGTGGATGGCTAGACTCATGATGTGGCCGGCGCTGTGGAGCCGCGAGTGCAGCAGGCGCTTCTCAGCATCTACGTGCTGCTGGAGTTCGGCTCCCGTGGTAAAGGGTGGGTTGGCAGTTCCGTTGGAGGGGTCGAAGCGGCCGAAATGCAGGATTTGGTTGCCCTGGGCGGGTTGCCGGACGGATTTTACTTGAAATGTAGGCGTGTCTTTGGTTGCTGCGTCATCTGAAGGGGCCATGGTTCCGATGTCTGAGGGTTGGCCGCCGCCCTGGACGTGGAAGATGGTTGAGTCGGTAATGATGGCGTGTTCTACATCTGATGCATCTTTCACCAGGTCCTTGTCTGGTGGCGGGAGTTCAGATACTGGGACGATGGAGACGACTTTGGCGCCGTGGAGCAGGCATTGGCCATCTCGCTGGTAGACGAGTTGCGTTGCTTCAGTCATTGTCTGCAATGAGAAAGTTAGTAAGCTGTTGCTACGTATATTTCCGGATATAAGGGGCCGGGTGGGCAGCTAGATACGTACGCTGAAGAAACGCTGGAATACTCTTCGCGACAGATTGGAATAGTAGGTAGATGAGGAGAGGTATTGTTGGTTGAATTGCAAACTTGAGAGAAGTGACTGAGCAGAGTGGCAGAGCCGTGGGCGACGAGTGGGCTATTTACGTGCATGTTACATGACTGCAACAACACCTACTGTACCTGGTAAGCGAGGGCGTGCAATACCCGCGCACCAGGCGCCACTCGTTCGTCACATTCTAGATTTTTGCCAAGACCGCAGGGCGCTGCCTTTTGCCGCTTTCGGGTGAGCAGCCCCAATACGACCCAGTGGGGTGGATTGCGTATTCAACCCACCCGCTTGTGCTACGCCGCACTTTTACTACCCTGCAATGCCGCGGCACTGGTTGGACCCATGCTATCATGCGGATATCCATATACTCAATGCATTGGTACAGGTGTCAGGAGCTGTATTTCTTCTCCACAAATTTATATTCAAAACTAGTCTGTTATCCAGTCCTATGCTAGTCCCCATTCCCCTTCCTCCACATGTATCTCCTCGGCGACGCTTCTGGTAACGCAACCGAATATCACTTTGAATCCTTCGGACCCTCGAATCCTTCATGTCAGCCACGTGTCCCTAAATCTTGTAGAACAAAACTTTGCCAGTCACCGCAACCCTGGCACCGCATAGCAGAAGGAAGCCTGCAACCATTGATGCTGCAGCAAATGCTTGGGCGTAAACATAGTGGCCATCATTCTTCGTGATCAAAATACCCGCAATTGGTGGACCCGTCAAGACTGAGAAACTCACAATCGTCTGCAATTATAGTTAGTCGCTGTCCTCTTGCAACATGATTCTCGCGGTTTGGAAACTTACGAAGATCATGCCCATTCTCACTCCCGCTTTCTTTAAATCAGTCGTCAAGCTACTCAAAGTAGCTGGGAACATTGCTTGAAGACCGTTTCCTACAACACCGTAAACTACAGTCCATGCATAGAGCCCTCCGCGAGATGTGATGCCAATCATCGCCCAGGCGCAAACAATTGAAGCAGCAGTGACCATGAGAAGGATATTCATGGGTCCAGTATATCGGTCCGCTAGGTAAGCAGGGAGAGTGCGACCTATAATACCAACACCGTTAAGCACCAAAAACAAGTTGAAAGACTCGTTTTGAGGTATGCCGATGATATCGACACCGAATGAGCTCACATAGTAGAAAGCAAAGTAGACGCCCCAGAATGTCAAAAAGATACCAACCGCAAATAGGCTGTAGGAAGCCTCTTTGAACGCAGCGAGATCAACAATCGGTCCCGAGCTGTAAGGCGGAAGTCTTGGTTTGGCCAAAATGTTCGAGAGAACCAAGCAGGCTGTAGTGGTAAAACCCAAAGCCCTCATGGTCCAGCCATATCCAACTGCTGGGACTAGTTGCTGAAACATGGCCGGGTAGACCAATCCGCCCGTCGCACTGCCGCATGCGCAAATGCCAATGGCCAGCATCTTTCTCTTCGCAAAATACGTCGAGACGATTGCAAGAGCAGGGCAGAATAGACATCCCGCACCGACACCGACGCAGATTCCCTGAGCGAGAAACAAGTGCCAGTACTGCGTGGAAATAGAGGCCATGAAGATACCGAGCAAAGTCAATGCGGTTCCGAATGCTAGGACGAATGAGCGGGTCATTCTTTTCATAGTAGCGACATGACTTTCGAAGAATTTGTCACTCACAGAAGATTGCACGGAAATATCCTGCATCCGTCAAACGGCCTGAGAATGTGCCGATGAAGAATACTAGGAAGACCTGCACGCTCCCAATCCACGCTACATCGGCATGTGAGCGCTTCAGGAAATCCACGTAGTAGGTTTCATAGACACCGAATGAGTTGATATTGCCCCTGGACTGGTGTAAGCACGTTTTCGAGTCATTTCTGCTATGCAATCAAAGTAGGAGTTTAAGGTATCTCACCAGGTGTTCATGATGACCAAATGGCCCACTAGGACCTGGGTCCAGGCGCGAAGCCCACCATCTGGAGGCGGACCCGGGTCTTTCCAACTTGCCCTGCTTTTCTCTCGTTCTAGCTGTTCCCCGTTACCTTCTTCAATGGAATCGCTTTGAGAGTCATCTGCGACTTCCGAAGATACGGTGGGCACTTTAACCCCATTGGCAGAAGTGACCATAATCTCGTATATGGTTTGATGACCCTACCTTATCTACTTTCCAATAGCCAGAGGTAAAAGACTCTTCTAAATCGAAATCGGATTCGCAGTTTCGTGTGTTTGCGTGAATAGTGAGGGGGAGCCAGGCCAACCTGGTCAAACGGGCACGTTGGACAAACACGTGGGGCAACGGATGCAACTCGCCACTCGCACTCGAGGGCAAATAAGGTAAGAAGAAAGGGCAAGAGAAAAAAAAGGGTACTGGAGGCGACTTCCTACCAGGTAATAAGGCACTCAGGTGGGTTCAGTCACCAATATCTACGTTTAGTTACTACCCGTTCGTCTCCACTACAAAAACAAACAAGCATGATATTCCGCCAATGAAGCACAATGGCTCCTTTGGATGATTCACACATTGTACAAACGAATGTAACGTTCAGTCTTTTGGCATATGTTGGATGACTCGCTAAAGACTGTGAGGGGCTGCACGCGGCGGGTCCGGGGAGCAGGCTTTGTCTTGGCCTGTTATATGCAGGGACTTTGCACGCCCTTTCGCGCCCGATGCTGACTAGATCTTGTAGGATTGACCGCTATTTTGTTGTGAAACGTAAGGGATCTAGATAGCCCTGTGGCCGATATCGTCGTTCCTGTCTTTGCGGATTGGGCCAATGAGATTGCATATGTGGTGTGCGAGGTGGAGCGAAGGAATATAATTGACTGTTGGATGGGACAGCTTGACCATTGTGAATTTCGGAAGCAGGTTTCCTGTTTCATCGAATTGATCTTTAGTCCTTGTTGGCAGTGGCAAAGCACAAGTCCACGACCCATTGTCAGCCGTGCTAGATGGGCTCCGATTTTCTTCGCTGGATGGGGGTCCACCATATGGGCCTCGCGTAAGTCTCCCATTCGTCTGGTGAAGCGG